CTAAGAAGGATTGTAGTGACCATGTTTTACATACTTTACCTGCTTCACAATTGCAAATGGGTTTCTTGCCTTTGCCATTAGTCTCTGAAACTTCTAAACTGCTACACAGAATGCCAAAGGATCAGTCTCTGGTTAACCTAAGCCGCAATTAAATTTTGTCTACTGTCATAGGATAATTATAAGATCAGCGTGACACACAGACAAGTAGAACTTCACAGACGAAGAAAACAGAGGGGAGAAATATGCTGTGAAGGAGAAAAGCTGTTCACATTAAAAGAATAAGCATCAGAAGTCAAAACTCATCAAGTTCTTGGCAAAATAGATTGGTTTTATATACGTCTCTTTCCCCACCTTTCCATCCACAAGGAAATCTTCTCTTTAATGTGTTAAAACTCAGCAGATCAGTTAGGTCTAGGAAGGAGGATGGTGTGAGCTCAAAGCAGACAGTAGCAATTGCCTTGTGATAAAAGAGCAGAGCTCATTAATGCAAAGTAGTTTAGGCACTAAGAACACATTTGTCCCTGCTCTGCGATGGCAGGATGAGAATTGCCATACTGTACAAATACTTGTTTAGCATCTGAACAACTGTTGTTTAAAGTGCACACATAAGGCCACTTTTAGGTCATTAAATAACATAACTGAGAAACAGAGTAGGTGCCCTGTTGAGTTATAATGAACTTATCTTGTGTGATGCAATATATACAGAAACCCAAACAGAATAAAGAGTAGTATTGAACAAAATGTGCTTTCAGCCGCAAGGTGATGTAACTCAAACTTCATCTCCCTGAGACTTTACAGACTTTACAGCATATGAAACTAAGCATCCTATACAATAGCAACATATAAATCTCTGCAGCCAAGTCTATTAGATTTGACTAGTGTGGTCTTGCAACATACACATCTGTGTAATGTTTGTTCTCTTCACTTAGTGATAATGTGCTGCAGCAGCAATTTGAGAAAAAAAAATTAAATACAAATGCAAAAAATGAACTACCAATATATTAATTGGCTTAAAGCAATTTGCAAGTGAGGAATAAATTACAAAATGCATAGATTGACATTATTAAATACATTACTGTTTATTTTTTAGCAGATCGCTATTTCAGAAAGCAGTGGTCTGAGATACTAAATCAGATGAGAGTATAGCAAAGTTATGGGAAAATGGTTCAGCTATGGCATTAAAATTGCTACTACAGACAGAGGGGCTGGAAGTTCCTGGCTCAGATACCAACACGTAAACATATGGGTTGAACTTTGATAGAAATTGTAAGAGAATTATTTTCCCTCCACCCACTTCACTAGACTTACATAGGACTTTATATGACCCAAAAGCTCTTCTCAGGAAGTAGGACCGGGGTAGCCATGTAATCTGCCTGTCTGAGCATCTGTACGTGCACAATGCCTTAGCTGTGAGAAATAACAAAGAACTGAAACAACCTCAATTTTTTTCAGACATCAGCATCTCATGAGAGTAGAATCTCATTTTTTCACTTTCACTGACCTCTAAGGTAACTCATACAGTGACTTCTTTTTCTGTATGTAGGTCTTCCCTGCATTTCACAGAATCACAGAATCACAGAATGGTAGAGGTTGGAAGGGACCTCTGTGGGTCATCTAGTCCAACCCTCCTGCCGAAGCAGGGTCACCTACAGCAGGGTGTAGAGGACCTTGTCCAGGTGGGTCTTGAATATCTCCAGAGAAGGAGAATCCACAACCTCCCTGGGCAGCCTGTTCCAGTGCTCCGTCACCCTCAGAGGGAAGAAATTCTTCCTCATATTCAGATGGAACTTCCTGTGCTGCAGTTTGTGCCCATTGCCCCTTGTCCTGTCACTGGGCACCACTGAAATGAGCTTGGCCCCATCCTCCTGACACCCACCCTTCAGATATTTATAAGCATTTATAAGGTCCCCTCTCAGCCTTCTCTTCTTCAGGCTGAACAAGCCCAGCTCCCTCAGCCTCTCCTCGTAGGAGAGATGTTCCAGTCCCC